CAATATGCAAATACTACTGGCCCATTTTGGGGTGAACTAAATATACAAGACTAGTTTTACGCGTTATTAAGAGTATACCCACTTCTCCAGGCACCACTACACCACTGGGTCTTTCACTTTATATCCTGTCATATCAGTTCCTCAGTTTCTGAAGATCTCATCCGAGTGTGAGAGAGATGTGTCCTCTCCTCCCCTCTAGATGGCAGCAGTGGTGTCATTTCTTTTCTTTTCTCCCAGTATCATGACTTTGACTTAATGGTGAGTGAAGCCCAGGCCAACACTCTTCCCTGTTGTTGCTGGGTGGGTTTTGACAAAGCTGTGTTCTGTATTTGTATTTTTACTGAACAAAAAAACAATAATTGTAAATATGTTTAAAATGCCACACAAATTCAATAAAGATGTTACAAAAAGTGAACGGGATAAAACAAAACAAGCTTTCATTGTTAGGTCCTTTCTTACTAATTCATACAAAAGACTTGCAGTGGATTTCATAGTTCACTTTCATATTTTCCCACAGTTATGGAAAACCTACAGATATCAGGGAATTTGAAATTTGGAATGTCAAGATATTAAATTTTTTTAGAAAGAGCCATAAAAGCCATTTTTACTTTAAAACTTTACTTGAATGCTAAAAAAATAAATAAAGAAGCAGCAAAACTTTTTTCAACATTGATAAATGTTTCTTGAGCAGCAAATCAGCATATTAGAATGATTTCTGAAGGATCATGTGACACTGAAGACTGGAGTAGTGATGCTGAAAATGTGCCATCGCAGGAATAAATTACATTTTAAAATACATTCACTAAAATATTTTTTTTTAATATTAGAAGTAATATTTCCCAATATTACTGTTTATACTGCATTTTATTAAATAAATACAGCCTTGGAGAGCATAAGAGACTTACAGTCTCACATACAGCTTATTATATTAAATGGTATATTGATGTTTGGCATAAGGAAATACACTAATGTGATCTCTTAAAATACATATTTTTAAATCTTTATCCATAATCATGAATGAGTGGAAACATCCTGGAAAGTCACTGGTCTAAAGCGTTGGTGACCTTGTGCATTTGTTCTTAACACAGCCTATACTGTATATAGATGGAATCTAGTTACAGCATGGACATTTCAATTATTTCTGCAATAATATTAATGATAGCAGCTTTATCTGTTTGTTTTAAGGCCGTCATGCTGCTTTGATCTTGGCAGCACACATTGATATTATAGGTCATGGTGAACTGGTCCTGGCACATTACCCCTGTTCTCAGTATTCACGTCAGTATTCAGTATTTCACACATGTGAGCTTGTTGTTATTCTCTCTCTTTAGCAGCAGCAGATTTGAGGGCAAAAAAATTAGGGATATCCTTTTTTTTAAGCCTTCCTCTGTCATTGAGCTGTCTGGACTGACCGTAATGTGACAGGACAGGATGGATGGATGGATGGCAAAATCTGGAGGCAGAGGTCATAAGCCGGGTGTCATTTGCCCTCTTTCAACAACCCTAGTGACACAATGTGACCCTGCCGTATCATCTGCTGAACAATGAAGGATTTCTCCTTCCACGCATACAGTTGGGTCCAAAACTCTGGAAATCCTTGTATTTTAAATTTTTCTAATTTAATGCAAAAAAGTTTTTGAGTTTGCATGAACTTCACAAGTGCAAAACCTGATGATCATGTTCTCCAGCATGATATGAGAATGATCCAAAGAGTAACTTGTGCTTCAGCAGAAGCAAGAACAAATGTTGAATCTTATGTACAGATTGGGTTTCATCATGTCTAGTTTAGGGTCAGCTTAGGCTACAGAGTCAACTGCTGCTCAGTGGAAAGCAGTGAGCGATAAGCTGGAGAAACTGGCATGTTGCAAGTGTGTGGAGCAAAAAAAAAAGCACCAAGGTCACTGTGAACCAGGTAGGTCAGTTGGCAGCTTCTACTAATGATAGCCAAACGATTACACACACACACACACACACACACACACAGAACGAGAGGGTGTACTGAGAGCTCCAGTGGCTCATGAGAGATTTGACTTTCAGAAGAGCATATGGAGCACTAGTTATTTTAAGCATATGCATTTAAAATATAACTTTCAAAATCATTCTGATAATACACTGACTTCTAGTAGGGCCAGTGGCTTCTGTTTCATTCCTACACTCCCGTCTGTTTTGAGAGTATACTTCAGTTAAGTGAGCAGGACCAAAAGTCTATCCAAATTCATAAGAATACACAAAACTGCAATCGGTTGCTTTAATATGCCGTACTCTTACCTTTACATACCCCTTACTGAAAAAGAATAGTTTTTTTTCTTTTTTTTTAAGAAAAACAGAAACTGTCATTGGTAAGTCATCCTGTTGGTTAGTTGCATACTTCTGTGTCTGCCTGCTGAAGTGGCTGCTTGTGTTCTTCAGGTCTGCAAAATGGAACTGTGAAAACAAATGATCTTATTTCTTCAAGCAAATACAGTGCTGCTGCAAGCTGTCCAACTGAATGGGATGCTATGTTGCCTGTCATTTAGTATCTTTACCAATATTTTCTCCTCTGGATGTGTTGTGTTTCTGTTGTATAAAACACATTTTAAAACTCAAATTACAACATGGTCACAGCCATTTATTTATCATATGTGCCAATATTATTTTTGAATGATGAGCTACCTAAGAAGATGTTGGTTATTATGCCTGATCTGACCTTTTTGGTATAAAGCTCATCAGTCTTAAAGTGTGTTGTGTGTAATAGTACTAAACTGGATTTGCTTCAGCATCCAGTTTTAAACTGGAAAAGTGTGACCCAACACAGTACCAAAATTTGGTGCAACATTTAATTGAATGAAAATTGTAAATTGTATAATATTTGCAAAAGTATAATAATGTGTTGGATTATTAAATTCATAATACCATTAAGTTTTTGTGGAGTTGCACCACATGATACTGTCTTTACAACCGGAAATAATCTTGTCTTGTCATAATGTCAAATTTTCTGATAATTTAAGTGATTAACCTTGACACAGTTATGATGGTCTATCGGGGTTCTCGCTGTGATATCACTTCCTTGTGTGTGTGTGTGTGTGTGTGTGTGTGTGTGTGT